CTTTTTGGATTTTGAATTTTTCCTATAAATTTTTGATCGTTATTTTTTATTTTTTTTTTATCATATTATAAAGGATTTTAATAGGTAATAAAAACACAGTCTTCATTACAACGGTTAAAAATGATTAAAAGAAATAAAAATTCAAAACACCTGCGAAATCTAACAAGAGGAAACCATTGGAGAAATGCCCTATTTCTCATCTTTTGCCTGAGGAAGTAGCACAGAGCCAGTAAAGCCCTCCTCTTCACCCTTTCCGCGATATAAGCATTTCACGACAGCTTCTAGAATAAAGCACAAGTACTTAACTTTAACAGATAGTGCTATTCGAATGCCTCCGATTCAGAGTAGTCGCACGATAAGTTCCGTTTTATAACGATTTACAACGACATAATGCACATCGCACAAATTGGAGGAGAAGCTCAGTTAAACACTTAGCAAAAGTTTAAGTTCCAAAGTATTATTATTTTTAATAAAACATTATTACCATATAGTTTTTATTAACTCTACGTCCATCTGTGAGTCTTAAAATTCCCTATACTCCAATCTAAGGCCAACTAAAAGAATCTTTTTTTGTTAATTCAAAATATACACAAACGTTTGAGGTAATGCTTTTTATAACCAAATTCCGAGGTCCTCAGTTTATACAGCATTACAATGACAAAGGATACAACCAAAGTGTAATACATAAGTAAATAAAAGTTCCTCTCATAGCCGTAATCTTCCATCTTTGTGGCTTATTGGCCTATCAAATGATTACAACAGCTGCATGCTTGTTTACATAATTGTCAATTGCACTTACAACCGAGTACCTATTTACATCAATTTGTATTTAACCTACAATAACACCTAAAATATGCTTAGTCCTATTTTATTTCAATTTGTCTGTTTTGTGGTAATTTAATTCGGTATTTCCTAAACGATAAAAACAAATGACACACTTCAAAATGCCGCCAAAGAAAACAAACATTTGCCAACAGGCCATGAAACAGCGAATAATGCCAGAGAAGTTAAAAAAGTTAAGTGCTGATAACGAATGACAGTATGAAAAAACAGCAGTTGCGCGCACGCCACACCCCACACCCCACACCCCACAAAATATTTACTAATTTTCGGCAGGTCTCGCGGGCGGGATAAACGAAAAACTTTAAGCTGAATGCAAATAACGTGCTTTTTTTGTCTTCTTATTTATATGCTTTGACAGTTATTTGGCGCTTATTCATTATGCGTTGGCTTTTGTTTTTCATATGTTTGCAGGATTTCGTTCAAGGACTTTCGATATTGTCGCGCGGCTCTGTAGAGGAGAAACTGCGTTGGACATTCTCGTTGTACGACATCAACGGCGATGGCTTCATAACGCGGGAGGAAATGACTGATATTGTGACTGCCATTTACGAGCTGATGGGACGCCTGCCGGACGAGTGTCCCGCGGAGGAGAAAATCAAATGCAAAGTCGACCACATATTTCAGGTAAGTGTGCAACAGCAACAGCGTTTGCGGCAGCAGTAAAACGAAAACGACTGACTGCCGGATTGTTTGCGAATCACAAAGCATAAAACGTAAACGAAATAAAAAGCTGAAGAAATCATTAAGCATTAAAGCAGTGGAAGGAGAAAGTTGGCTATCAGCTCTTAATGTTTTGAGGAAATGGCGAGCATGCGACTGACTCACTCGTTCACTCACTCAAATATCATCTGCGTGACGATCTGACATGGCCAATCTAAGTGTCCTTCCATTCTATTGAGAGCGTGCTTGACGTTGACATTTGGGTTTTTGCATTTTATTTTATGCATTCTCGTTTCACGCTAATTGGCTTGAATTTCTCGCTTATTTATTATTTGCCAGCCACAGCATCAAGTTGTGTCGTACATAAATTATTTACTTTGCTTGGGCGCTTTTAAATTGATGACTTGGGGGCTTAGTAAAATATGAAAGGTAATCTCGCTGCAAAATTCCAAAAAAATTAAAAGCCAAACCAAGGGAAACTTTTCAAATAGTATTAGTTAAGGAATTATGAAGAGATTAGATTGATTAGATTAGACTAGATTAGATACGAATAAATTATATTAGATTACATTGGATTAGATTAGATTAAATTAGTTAAGATTAGATTAGATATGATTAAATAGACTAGATCAGATTGAATTAGATTAGAATATTTTAGATTCGATTAAATTAAATAAGATTAGATTAAAATTAAATTAGATAAAATACGATTAGATTAAATAAGATTAGATTAAAATTAAATTATATTACATAAGAATAGATTAAATTAGGTTAGATTTGATTAGATCAGATTAGATTAGATTAGATTAGACTAGATTAGATCAGATTAAAATTAAATTAAATTACATACGATTAGATTAAATAAGATTAGAGTAAAATTAAATTAGATTACACATTAGACTAAATTAGATTAGATTAGGTTACATCAGACTAGATTAGATTAGATCAGATTAAATAAGATTAGATTAGGTAAGATTACTTCAGTTAGATTCGATTCGAACATATTTGATTAGATTATATTAGACTTGATTAGACTAGATAAGATTCGATTGAATTAGATTAGATTAGATCAGATTACATCAGATTAAATTAGATTATGTTAGATTAGATAAGATTAGTTTGAATTAGATTAGTTTAGACTAGATAAGAGCAGATTAGATTAGATTAGATCAGATTAAATTAGATTAGATTAGATTAGATAAGATAAGAGTAGATCAGATGAAATTAGATTAGATCAGATTAGATCAGATTAAATTAGATAAGATAAGTTTAGATTAGATTAGTATTTCCATTGTATTGTTTAGAATTTCCATTAAAACACCAAGTATATTGCAAATTCACATAAAATTGTTAATACACATTTTAGTTCTAATTGTATACTTTGCGTACTTTTTTTAGTACCTATCTACTACCATTTTCGCAAAAGGCGATCACGTTCTTCCAATTCCTCCTACTTCCAAAATACAAATCTAGATAAAGGAGTGTCAAATTTGAGCTGTCACAAATTACGTAACCTTGTATTATGGAGTCATTATTATGTATTTTTCATCAAAAAAAAAACAATTCAAAAAATAATCATTATAATCATAATAATCAGAGACCAAGGATTGCATACAAAAATTATTTTTAGTAACAGGTTGACCGAGCTTTGCCCGGAGTGCATAACATTTTTTAAGTTTTCAAGATTCGAGTACCTTTTGGAAAAAAATTGGATCAACAATTTAAAAATTTTTATTACATAGAAGCGTGGCAACCATGATGGAAAATATTATTTTGACCAAAGATCTTAATAATACCTTTCATTTGACATCCGTATTGCGATGTTTTTGACAAATTGTGTAGAATCGAAAATAAGTGGCTACCTTACACTACACTACATCCTAAGTGATAACATTTTGTACAAAGGGAAAGCAGTTTTTAAGAACCCTCTCTTGGTATCCATGAATAGTAGTATTTTTTTTTCTAAAAAAAAATAAAATAAAATATGATTCAAATAGGTGGCAAACCTTTCAAAAAAAAAAACTGGTTTCATCTATTCCCCAGCCGACTGCGAAACAGTGGATTTATTAGTAAAATCAACTGTTCTTTTCCGAAATCGCTGCGCTTAAAACATGTTTTTGTACTACACTTTTCCAACATTTCCTTGTACACTTAATTTCATGTTATTAATAAGCATGTAGTCTGCAAATAAAAAGAGTATTCAACATTTCCGCATTTCTTTACTTCTTTTGCAGAAAATGGACAAAAATGGCGATGGTGTGGTGACACTGGACGAATTTCTGGAAACGTGTCGAAGTGACGAAGCCATATCGAGATCAATGTCGGTCTTTGACTCAGCGTTCTGACCATATCCGCTGCGCAAACGGGACGATAGCGCCGGCGCTCACCGGCAACGCAGACAGCCGTCAGTGGGTAGAAACAAGGTAGGCACTGGCGCCAGTAGTAATCATAGTCGTACACGTAGTAGTCGCAATAGGCGCAAGCAATCATCATCACAACAACATCAGCAGCAACAGCAGCAGCTGCAACAAAAACAACAAGCGCAGCCACAAATGTCACAAGAACAACAGCAAACTCCATTGGATGTGCAGCCAGAACGCGATAAATGTAAAAAAGCAGATAAACGTAAGTCCAGTAAGAAAATCCTACAAATACAACTACCAGATAAGGCACAGCCACAGTCACAGCCAAAATCAGATTTACAACAACAGCAGCAAAAACGACACGATGCACTTTTAAGTCAAAATTTAGCAAATAGTAACCAAACAATTCAGCTAGCGGAAAAAAGCAGGCCGAGTGCGCACCGTACCGTTACACATAGTGTCGATGCGACTGCTTGCCACACTTCCAGCAGCGATGCCTCCACTGCCTCCTGCGACAGCGATAGCGAAGAAGCGGTTAGCGAGAAACTCGCTTCTATGTGCCACCACTGCCTGCGACCACAAATCGAAATGCAACTACGTCATCTGCGTCCACAGCAGCGTCGACAATGGAGCCGCCTACTACAGCAGCAATACAGCAAGCGACGCAACAGCAAAACGCGCAGAGAGGTAAGCTGGAGCGGTGGTGGTGGCGGTGGCGGTGGCGTTGATGGCAAAAATGGCGAGGGCCGAAGTGGGGGTGGCGGTGGTGGTGCCATTGGTGTAGAACCGTCTGGCTATGGCGCTGGTGACTATTTGCCGCCAACGGGCACCACCTACACAACCGGTGCGCATTGGTCGCGACGCGATGTCAGCGCGGCGGTACGCTATCGTTGTCCTCAAGTTGGTCCAAAGCCCGCGCCCTATCACTTCCATCATCCGCAACAACTACACAATGCATATCAGCTGCAATTGCTATTGCAGCAATGTGAATACGTGCCGCCAGCATACCACCAACAACAACAGCAACAAGAATTGTATTATAAACGGCAAGCGGCATTACATAATAATAATATGGACCTGAATACTTCCAACACCACTACCACCGCCACCGCCAACAGCACTGCGACTACGTCGAACGCAGCAACCACAATCACCATTGAATGTGATTCGCAACCGCAATCGCAAATTGAACAACAAAAACTGCTGTATCAGCAACAAAGAAATCAAAATATACAATTTAATCAAAATTTACACGCAATGACCACAGCAACAACAACCATTAAAACTGCCACATCGAGTGGGTGCAGCATGAATGGCTGCACGAGTAACACCAGCTTAGTCGAAGCGGCGACAGCGCAAACAGGTAGCCAGCATGCGGCGGCAACACATGTCGCCATGCAGACGCAGGGGACAGCAACTCATGTCGCCATGCAGCCGGAGGGGACGGCGCTGCCAGCAATGGGCCGTGGCACAAGGGCGGGCGCAGTTAGCGACAGTGAGCTGCAGTTGCAGCTGCAGCAGCAGCCGAGTACGTCCGAACCGCCGTCGCTAGTGAAGGTACGCGCTTGGTACACAGTGGCGAAACAGGGTGTTTCTTGCTAATAATCAATTTACCATCTCAATCTTTCGGCTTTAACTCAACTGTGCTCTATATTTACTATTTAGTACTATTCTTGTAGGAGAAAGTTCTATCTTGGATATATATGTACGTATATCACTTAACAGAATCGTGCATAAGTGCGTAGTGGTTTTTGTTTTTTTGCTGTTGTTAATTATTGGTATGTATGAATGTAAGTGGAAGACTCTGTACGCAATTATGCGAAATGATGTAAAATTAGTTGCTCTTAAAGCCATAATCACGGAATGCTAATAGGCCTAAGGTTGCGTTTCACTTCTAAACACCGGATTTTAATGCAGAAGTCAGCAGGAGCTAAGGTTATATTATTACGAAAAGAAGGCAAGTAAGCCAAAGAATAAAGCTTTCTCAAAAAGAAGAGGAAGGCCTCCTTTTCGTAGAAAACAGAGAGGTGGAGAAGGACTTGGCTTCACGTGCTGTTTTGGACTGGGCTGAAATCGCTTAGGCGGGTACAGCGCCAACAAAGAAGGTCCAGGCAAATATATTTTCGGTTTGCTTTGATCGCATAACAGACATCTTGTCAGTTTTCTTATCTTACATTTCCTCAAAAACTCACAAGACTTTCAGTTTAAATATAAAACCAACAACCGTGTTAAAACTGATTTGATAAAAGGTGGCGCAGTAGTTGTCAATTTTTGTAATTCTTGTGAATAAAAAACTTAGTTCTGCTTTCGGATGCTGGTTATTGGTTGTCTTAATTTTTTCCACTAGGTCGGGTCGTTTTCAAAATGTGTTTATGGCATTTTCCATCACTCTTGACACAATTTCCGGCGATTGGTTTTTAGCATCATGCACGGATATTCCCTTTGAAAGCTTCAAAAGTCTAAGGTTTGTTGACCTACATTTCGCGAAACTACACAAAATAAAATTATGAAACGATTAAATCGGGCGCTCTTGGTGGCTTGTGCAAGAGACTGGGCGACCCGTAAATACAGCCATCAGTGCCAATTTTTCGAATTTAAGAAGGAAAAGTTATTTGGCATAGCACTCTGTAAGGGAATATCTTCAAATCGTTCATCAAAATTCTGGTCGATACCCTGGAGTCCTCTTCTAGTCGAGAGATTAAATGCGCCATAGTATTTGCTCAGTTGGTGTTGAAACGAACAGAAGATTTTCGCCTACTTTCACGATGTAAATAAAGTATTACTCGGCGTTCTTGCGACGTTTGGCGATTCGTGGTCAGTTAGCGTGTATTTTATATCTGTTTACTTCACAAATGTTAAAGCAGAACTGATATTTGCGGGAATTTGCAAAAGTTGTAGCTTCTTCCCATAGGGTGATGACTTTCGCGTCACGTTTGTACATTTAACACAGAATGGGACGTGTGAAGGATTTAGTAAAAGCCACATATACAGCTAGTTCCGACTTTTTCTTTAAAACCCACATTTCATAATTGCTTTGCAGAGCTTTTGAGCTTATGTGTCTCCTTTCCTATCTTGAGGTACTCTCTATAAATGTGTATGTATTAGGAACCCATAAAAATTGCGCTAAAAATTCCTTTCAAATTTAAACAACAGCGAATGATAACGAGATTAGGTTAAGTATAAAAATATAGTTTAAGCAGATTAGTGATTATAAATAAAAAAAAAATCTTAATTAATTATAATGATCAATGATAGATTTGAAATGTTAGGAATTTTCAATAGTTGTATGTATGTATGTATGTATCTAAAAGCCAACGAAAAGGGTATTCAAATTAGAAAGCTAAGATCAAATTGTGCGCTATAAGAAATTCGATTCAAAAATGTTTTATCAAGGTTAGGTTAGACTGAAATGGTCGTTCAAGCAGGACACGCTTCTGTAGTCCCTGGGCCAGTTTTAATATTTCCTTAAAAACGTTAGGGATGAAATTCGTCAAGTTTCTTACTACAATGAACCCGAGATCATCGAGCCACTTAAAGAGGTTTTGTGAGTTGAACACTGCATATCGGACATAGGTAAGGTTAGGTTAGGATGGCGTTTCTGGAAGTGCCCTCTTTCAGCGAGTGTCTTCCGCACGTACCCGCAACAGAGAGTGTAGCTAAGTAATTAGAAGCCATTATTCTACTGAAACCACTACTATCCATAATTAAGCCGAGGAAATCCTGCAGTTCCACCGCCGCTATCTCTCCCAGAATGTTGAAGAAACGTGAACACAAGTGCTAGACACAGAAAGTAGTCAATGATAGTTTGATATTTTTTATTTGCAATGCAAACTTAAAATGAAAGTATTTTCGAAAAATTACCTAATCTAGAAAAATGGTGTACAGATCTCGGCGTTTTTGTGTGTTATTTTCGGGCTCCTATAAGGTTGCCTTTTGATC